TGTCAGAAAATTTAAAAGGTCATTCTTCAACCTCGAATGAAACGAAAATTAGAAATCGAAAAAAAAAAAAAAGTTCGAAAAAAATGCGCATTCGTTATCCTTCCTGTGTTATTATTACAAAAGAGATTAAAATAAATTTAACTCTCCATATAACACTCTTTGCATCGTGACAATTGCGTTTTAATACAAAGTCACGAACGAAATATTTCAACTTTCATAAAGATCGAAACCCGGTCTTCTCGAAAAGTTGAAAAAGGTGAAAAATCGTACGATTGAAGTACGAATTCGTCACGATATCTCGAACTATTGCCGAGACACGAAGATTCAAAGTTTCCATAGCGCTTAACGGAATTATGAATGGACCGACAATTGACCTACATTTTTCCCCGGTAAGCGCGTACGTTCTTCTAGGAATTTTGTCTCGAGTTTATGGTCGGTGCGAGCGAGAGAGTACGATATATATAAAAGAGTACGACAAGGACGGAGGTAGTAAAAATCACACTTCTCTTTACTCGACGATATCTCGGCAACCGAAAGTCGTATCGAGATGATCCAAAAAACGTTTCAAAGGGGAAGATTTTGCGCTTCCAACGATCGCTCGCTTCGAAGTTGTAACGTTTTAAAGTTCTTTTTTTTTTTTAATTTTAATTTTCAATCGATCGTTTTATTCGGCTTGGAGGAATCGGTTGTTAAATTTTCGAACAGTGATGGCCGAATATATTCCGCGTGTACATATTCCGTAAAATACGTATGGCATGAACCGATTAGGTCAATTCCACAGAGAATCGCATCATGCGCAATTAGAAGGTATTTCAATATGCAACAGGCTGTCGATCATTTATCGTAATAAATGTCCATCTTGCTTGACAAGGAGGTACGCGTTGTATTCTTCGTAATTCGCAACCGAGTGTAATTGAGAAAAATGAATTAAACGTTAAAAACGATAAATTTGTTTTAAAACAAATTTTAATCAAAGAAAAAAAGGATAATTATTTATTATTAATCGAAACGTAAAGTATTAAAAAGCATTATGAAGTCGAGTTTTAATCGATAAATTGCGGTTGAAATTTATGGGTTACACGTACGATTTAAATCATACGATTTTACGAAAATCTGACAACTATGCGAGTATTAACTTTCGCATTAAAATGTTATTTGAATGTTGTGCGAGTATTATTTGTGTGCATAATTTAATGTTTTCAATCATGAAACGTACGTGATATTATACCGTATTACAAACAAATGAGTTCCAACTTACTTGTTTACCCGTAATAATTCCACTCTGCTTCCGGAAATAATATTCGGTAAACAAGAATTCGCGACATTATTATAACATTTAAATTTTGTTACTTTATCGTATATATAATACAATCGATACACCGTAATTTATATATTAAATCGTAATTAATATTGCAAGCACGTATATACACGTAGAGAAAAATCGGAGAATGAGAAGTGAATAGAAATGAAAGCAAAAAAAAAAAAAAAAAAAAAAAAAAAAAAAAAAAAGAAAAAAAAAAAAAAAGAAAAAAAAAAAAAAAGAAAAAAAAAAAAAAAGAAAAAAAAAAAAAAAGAAAAAAAAAAAAAAAGAAAAAAAAAAAAAAAGAAAAAAAAAAAAAAAGAAAAAAAAAAAAAAAGAAAAAAAAAAAAAAAGAAAAAAAAAAAAAAAGAAAAAAAAAAAAAAAGAAAAAAAAAAAAAAAGAAAAAAAAAAAAAAAAAAAAAGAAAAAAAAGAACAAAAGCGAAAAATCGAAAAGAACGATTTTCAGTCATATCACCCGAATATCCCCGGCGTTCGAGTTCGAATTAAATTCTCGAAGAAAACATTCCGCTACGCGCGGTGACGTTGTCAAAAGAACGTCCATGTCCGTTCCGTGGAAAGGCAAAAGGGAGGCTTTCGTCGTCCCCGATTGTCAACCGTTACATCCACTCCGCTGAATTTACACACAAAGCGATTCCAAAGTCGAAAGATGAAAACGCCTCCCTCCCCCGCCCCTTCACTGCCCACCGAATCCGAACCGCGACACATCGCTTTGTTATAACGTTACACGCGTCACTACTCCGCTCTCACTTTCTCTGCCCAACTCGAGAAGAGAAAGAAGGATTTCCCGTTATAATTTATTATACGCCCGGACACAAAAGGAATTTCTCACCTCCTCTGTCACCAGCCACGAAACGACCATCCACGCCGATAAATTCTCCCTACCAATTATTGATTACTAAAAAAAGTAACGTGAATCTTGAAAATTTTTCTCAAAAGGGAAAGAGGAGAGTATACATATATATATATATATATATATATATCCACGAATTATTGATTACTATCGAAAAAAAGTAACGTGAATCTTGAAAATTTTTCTCAAAAGGGAAAGAGGAGAGTATATATACATATATATATATATATCCACGAATTATTGATTATTATCGAAAAAAAAGTAACGTGAATCTTGAAAATTTTTCTCGAAAGAGAAAGAAAAGATATTAGAAGCACAAAGATAATGAGAGGAGAGTATATATATCAATTATTGATTACTATCGAAAAAAAGTAAAAATGAAAAGGGAATCTTGAAAATTTTTCTCAAAAAAAAAAAGAGGAGAGTATACATATATATATATATATATATCCATGAATTATTGATTATTATCGAAAAAAAAGTAACGTGAATCTTGAAAATTTTTCTCGAGAGAGAAAGAAAAGATGTCAGGAGTGTCAAAGATAATGAGAGGAGAGTATATATATATCTATCAAATATTCATTACTATCGAAAAAAAGTAAAAATGAAAAGGGAATCTTGAAAATTTTTCTCAAAAACGAAAGAAAAGAGTATACATATATCGAATTATTGATTACTCTCGAAAAAAAAGTAACGTGAATCTTGAAAATTTTTCTCGAAAGAGAAAGAAAATATGTCAGGAGCACAAAGATAATGAGAGGAGAGTATACATATGTATATATATCCACCAATTATTGATTATTATCGAAAAAAAAGTAACGTGAATCTTGAATCTCTTCTAATGAGAGGAAAGTATATATATCAATCATTGATTACTATCGAAAAAAAAATAAAAGTGAAACGTGAAGTCTTGAAAATTTTTCTCAAAAGAGAAAAAAAAGATATTAGAAGATAA